GTGTGTGTGTGTGTGTGTGTGTGTGTGTGTGTGTGTGTGTGTGTGTGTGTGTGTGCCCACCATGTCCTGTTATGTTTACTCCTCCAGATTGTTCTGAATAATAAGCTGTGAGATGGTGCAAATGGGAAAAAAAAGGCAGAGGGGAGAATCAGCCAGACAGAAATCAAACCACTGAAGTACTTTGYTTCACACCTGATTTTTTTTTAAATTTAGGACAAAACACCTTCAAGCCCAAGCCCACAGAAACATGATGAAATTTTTTTTCAATTTTTCCTGATCACTCCATCACTTCCACATTCTTTCTATCCTGAAAACTTTGTCACTACACGTTTCATTTTTTATTACTACTTACATATAAGTAGTGGGCAACGTCTGTTTATTCAATTTTGGTAAAGTACACTGAAAACAATTCCAATGTGAGAAAGGTGYGCATTTGCTTTCTTGGTGAAATGTATATATTTTTTAATTTGTCAATTACAAACTTCAGCAATTTGAAATAAATTCAAAGTTTTGCAAAAGTCTTATTTTTTTACAACTGTGGCTTTATTTGAAAAAGAGCAGAGATTTCTGCAGCAGGTTTCTTAACGTCTCCTTTTTTATCTTAAGTGACTTAAAAATGATAAAGGAAAAAAATCATGAATAAATGAACCTAATTTAGAAATATGGGTGATAATACTGTGAGACTTTTTACAATACATTTGCTGCCTTAGCAAATTTTCCTGTATTACTTTTCTTCGTCTTTCCCCTTAATGGAATCTCTTTTTCACTTTGCTTCTGTTCCCTCCTTCCTCATGCCCTTTTCACGCTGCCGTCTATAAACATTTCCTTTCTCTGTACTTTTCCAACAGGTGAGATGGAGGAGCTGGAGGCACAGTGGCTAACTGGGATCTGCCACAATGAAAAGAATGAGGTCATGTCCAGCCAGCTGGACGTGGACAACATGGCGGGGGTCTTCTACATGCTGGCTACAGCCATGGGCCTCTCTATCCTCACCTTCATCTCAGAGCACCTTTTCTACTGGAGGCTGAGATACTGCTTCACCGGGGTCTGCTCTGGAAGACCTGGAATGCTCTTCACGATCAGCAGGGTGAGATGATAGAAACACATCTAATGACACATTTTCTCTGCAGGAGGCCATTTTCAGGGATTCAAACTTGTGCTTGACAGCCTTGTGTTGGTCCAGATTTGGTATGCGGGGTGCAGCTTTCTCCACCTTTGTTGCCAGTTTGAATTCGCAGCACTCAAAGCTGTTTCCCTATCAAACACAATCGCTTAAAGTGCAGCAACTTGACTTCACAGCATTGATTCAGGCTGTGAGGCACCGAAACCCGGTGCAAACACCAATATCAGAGCAGGGAAAGGAAGTGTTGGGCAAAAAATATTGACAGAACAGCTGAACAACAGAATGTGTAAAATCAAATGAGGAGTGGCTTTACAAACTCTTTCAAATCTGATGGAAGAGTAAAACAAAACTAAGTGCTTTATTGCAATACAGTTTTTTCTTCTTCTTTTTAAACATTTGTTTTAACTTTAAAGGGGACATATGCTTTTAAACCATTCCTTTTCACATTTAAATCATTCAGTTGGGGTCCATACAAAGTGGAACTGCAATACTTTGGTCTGAATTCCTCCTTATTGTGGCTCCATAAGCCCCTCTTTCACCTCTTTTCTGAGGTGGGTCTAAGCTCAACTCCTTTTGAGGCTGTCTCTTTAAATCCAAATTTGGTGCTTCACAATCCATCCCCCTTCTAGCTTCCAGAGTGGTTCATTCTAGTTTGATAGAGGAGGTAACGTCTATCTAGCAGCACAGAAATGTTTTATTTACAAATTAATTATTAGATGTCACCAACAGAAGACTTGTCCAGCCAGCCTTACATGTTGGGGCCAGAGACTGACCCAGAGTGAGAGGAGAATGAAGATGATTCCATTGTAGTTTGTAAGTCCAGACATTATTTGTCTGTTCTGTCACAAAAACTGTGATGTAATAGTTCAGAACATGTCACAGAAAATAAAGAAAACTGAAGAGGGTGAAAAATATGACCCAAACAAAATATAAAGATATTTTTGCAACACCGGGAGAGACTGAGTTCAAATTTTCTGCACTCCTAGACACTCCAAGTACACAAC